TTTGAGTAATATTGCATGAGTTCCTTGTTTTTTAATGCAGCATAGTATTCCATTGTGCGAATATACCACAGCTTCTCTAGCCATTCGTTTGTTGATGGGCTTTTTAACATTTTAAAGAGATATTTTACAGTAGATTTTTCTAATGCAATTTGTCATTTGATTTCTCAACTGTTGCTTCCACAGATCTTGATTGTGCATGTAAGTATAATGAAATCACTGACAAGGTGACTCTTTTCTCCATTTATCATGCTGTTGCTTGTTGGTCAAATTGTGAGAATTTTTGTTTTCTTTATGTTGAGGTTTAATCCATACTGAAGGCTATCTTTTTATCTGTCAGCGTTTCAAGCTCTGCCTTAAACAAGCAAGATGTGCCAACTACCTATTGTAAATTATAAATGAATCTTCTTCCAATCCTGATGGAATTCTTCATATAGCCCACCTTCTCATATTATTTGCTCAGCATACAAATTAATATATATGGTAAAATAATACAATTCTGATGCATATTCAACCATACAATACACCCTTTTTCTAGTGACTGCCTCTTCTTGGTCAATATACAGGTTCTACATGGGAACAATTAAGTATTTTGAAAGTCCTATTCTTCACAATATTATTGTCTATAATAAAATTATCTATAATTTGTTATGATCCACGTAGTTGTGTAGCCAAGAAAACACAGGTAAACATCTTTCTAGTATTCTCTGCTTTCAGTAAAAAACAATGATCTGTTGTTCAATGTTCTTTTCTGAATCCAGCTTGAATTCTGTTAATGTAAGCTGAAATAATTTTAAAATTCTCTTTGGCAGGATTGTACTTGTGATATAAATTATTTTGTTTGATACTTTTTCATTCTCTTAGAACATTTTGCTTTAGAAAAGGCACAAAGACAGATCTCTCCGAGTCCCTATTTGGTTGGCCAAATGCCCATTTCCTAAATTTCTTAATCATGACAAATGAGCACCTCCAGCCTTACATCTGTTTATTGAAATATTTCACTTGGTGTTCTGTCAGTTTCTAAAGTTTTGTTCACTATAGCTTGGACTTCTTCTATTTGTTTTTTATTATATACTGTCTTCTGAAACCCACAGTCATGCAATCTTTACAGAAAATAGCACCATTAGTTATTATTTCAGAATTCCCTTCCACTTCACTTTCCCACCAACAGCATCTAAGAATGTCTTTATCCATAACTTTGTCAACAAAATGTGTGTCCCATTTTTCATTTCTACTGAGGTAAATGTAATTTTTAAAATTGTGAATGAAATTGTAACACTTTTCTCAGATGTTTAAGACCATTTTAAAACACTTTTGTCAATTGTTTTGTCTACTTCCTTTCCGCTTCCAAATGCTATTATTAAAATATGAGAAGGATCAAAAGTAAATAGCACCTCAACTTTGATGAAGAAAGAAAGCAGAATTGACCTTCAGAGAATGACTTCAACTTTGCAGAATTGATTAGTCGATCAATTTTTTTAAAAGAACTCTTTCTAAGTGAAGGATAATAGCATTTTATCTTTGAAAATCAATGCACATTCCCTCCCCCAGTTGTCAATTGCATTTTAACCTTGTTTATTTAAAAAAAGTTATAATCAATTACAAATTATATAGTCAGATTTATCAGTTTTTAAAATTGCCTCCAGATTTTGAAGCAGAATTAGAAAATTTTCCCTAGGTTAAACCAAGTTTCCTTAGGTTAAAGAATAATTTACCTATATTTTTTTTTCCTAGTGCTTGAACAACTTAAATTATTTTTTTAACATTTACATCCCTAATCTACCTGGAGTTTATTCTTCCATATCATATATAGGTTTAATATTACTTTTTCCCAAATGGCTAATCTTGTGGATTGACTTGTGTCCCCAAAATATATGCATGTAATAATAAGGTATAGAAGCCATGTAAAGATCTCCCCTATTTGATAAAGGATAGAATGCATCATCTCTTGATCCCATCAAAACTCTAATCAGAGGGGAGCTCTGGTGGCCTAGTGGCAAGGAGCTGCAACTACAATCCCAGAGGCACACGGTTCGAATCCACCAGATGCTCTGCCGGGGAAGGAGGGACAATCTCCTCCAGTACCAGTCAGATCTGATTTGACGGTACACGCACACAAAAATAATAAAATTAAAAAGAAAAAAAAACTCTAATCAGATGAGAAGGAAACTTCCCTGGGGTGTTTGTTGTTGTTAAGTGTCATCGAGTCAAGTATGACTTATAGTGACCCTACGAACAAAAGATCTGAACCCTGTTCTATCCTGTGCCATCCTCACACTTCCTGACATACAAGAGCCCATTGCAGCAGTCACTTTGTCTTCCTCTCCTTTGCCGACCCTCCACCCTTCCCAGCATCATGTCCTTCTCCAAGAAAGAGCGCTTCCTAGGCTAAAGTATGTAAGGCGAAGCCTCATCATTCTTGCCTCCAAAGAGCACTCCGGCTGCACCCTCTCCAAGACATATCAGTTTGTTCTCTTGACCATTTGTGAATGGTCAGTGCTCTTCTCCAGCACCATAGCTCAAAAGAATCAATTCTTTTTCTGTCAAAATTATTCATTTTCCAGCTCTCAAATGCATAGCATGTAATTGGAAAGACTATGGCCTGAATCAGATGTACCTTAGTCCTCAAACTGGTATCATTATTCCTCAATAATTTGGAGAGACCCCTAACTGCAGGTTTTCCCAGTGCACTCTGTCTCCTTATTTAAATAACTTAAAATAACTTTTATTAGAGTTAAAAGGAGAGAAAAGTGAGCTGAAGGTAGGGCAGGTTTGGTGTGGGGCAATTTTGCCACCAGCAAGAAAGAAATGCCAAGAGTGGAATGAGTCTTTTTGGATCTGAAAGAGGAAACTCCTGGACACTGAGGAAGAACAGAATACACGGACATTTCCAGGGAACTTCAGGCCTTCAGAGGCTGAAGGAAACAATGAACTTTCTCCTAGAGCTGGAACCCTGGATTTGAACTTTCAGCCTCCTTAACCCAAACGGCAGGAGGATAAATTTCTCTTTATTAACCACCATCCAGTTGCCTAATTGACCAAGTCAGTTTTTGCCAAAGTGATGCAAGCTGGTATTTTTGATGGTATACTATGTTTCTATTGTTCTTGACTCTATTGTTAGGCTGTTTCGCTCTGCTAGTCTTTTTGTCTATTCCTTTACAAGTAGTACATTATGCTAATTATAGATGTTTTATGGCATATTTTAATGTGCTGTCCCCTACTCTACTCCAATAGATTTTCTGTTTCAAGGGTTTTCAGGCTATTCATGTGAAAATATTGTTAATTTAATTAAATGGTTTTGTGCTTTATAACTTATTCTGGTTCTTTTCTCTGTTGCTAAGTATTCAATCCATGTTACCACAGTTCATCTAATCTGCTTCCTCCATGTTTTACCTTCCAGGCTCCCCAGGATAGACACCTGGACAGCTGCCATTCAGCAGTGTGTTACAGATGGCTTGGACTCACTCATGAATCCTAGCTGTGTGTTTCTTCCCAGCCTTGTGCCCAGTGACACAAATTTCAAAACAGTAGTTTGAAATTGGTCATGTCTGTGGTGACATGGACTAAGGGTACAATGGGTGCCCCAATCCTGGATGACCACCTTGTAGGACATGGTGGAAAGACCAGAGTGTCAGGTGGGATCTGGCATAGATGGCCTGGAGGTCTCTGGCTCTTTATGGATGCACCATCTCTCAGTCTGCATTGGCCTCTGTCATTGCAGGGTGGCCCTTTGACAATACCACGTGCAAGATGAGCGGCTTGGTGCAAGGCATGTCTGTGTCAGCCTCAGTGTTCACCCTGGTGGCCATCGCTGTGGAAAGGTGAGATGTTTCCTGCGGCATTACCCTTGGCTGACTGGGGTCCAGGCCCTGGAAGGAACCACAGTCTCCTCTACTGGACCTTCTTGAAGTCTGTTGTTCCTCTGACAGTAGATGGTGGCTGAGTCTTTAGCCTGTAAGGGGAGGGATGTCAGCAGGCCGCCCTCTAGGCTTGGAGAGGTGCATCTTTTCCCTCTGAAAGACCTAGAGGCAGCTCCTGAGGTGGTTTTGTAGGGATTCCTGGGGCCCACGGAGCTCAAAGGCAGTCCTGGGAGGCAGGAATCGGGCCATGAACCTGGGTGACTGGGAAGGAAGGTGTTCTCCCTGCTCCTTCACTCCCCTACACAGCCTCTTTGCTCTCATTCCCCATCTGTACCTCATCACCAGGGAGCCCTGGTGAGGAGCTGTGCTGCAACCCCAAAGGCAGGCGGCTCAAATCCACCAGCTGCTCTGCAGGAGAAAGGTGGGAAATCTTCTGCGATTTAAAGCCTCCAAAACACACTGTAGGAGCAACTGAGTAGTCACATAATACCAACAACCTCATCACCAGCCACTTCTCATTTTCCAGCCTCAGATTCTCTCGGGCTTTCTGACAAGTATTAGTCTGTAAATGTGCCCAGAGGTCAGGAACAGAGCCAGGGGCAAAGAATAAACCTTGAATCAACACAGCTCCTCTTCCTCCCTCAGGTGAGAGGCTCCTTCAGGGTGACTTCTGCGTATAAAGCTTCTACATATGTGTCATTACGTGCTGTTAAGTCAGCTCCCACTCCTGGTGATTCTTAAGTACAAGACTACAAAACAGTGACTAGAGTCCAGAGTACACATGCCACCTGCTAACGTTGTGTTCTTACACTCACGCCCTCTCTCTGCCCAACACAGTCACTTCCACCTGCTAACGTTGTGTTCTTACACTCACGCCCTCTCTCTGCCCAGCACAGTCACTTCTTAGCCTCTCCCTTCCTAAACTCTAGTATTCTCACTTCTTCCCCCGTCAGACCTAATCTTTTAGGATCCAGTGAAGTGGAAAGTTCAAGTGATGGAACTGGGCTCTGCTCTGTGCAAAGCCATTAAGGATCTCATTGATTGGAGGATGTCATGTCTCTTCACTGATCTTTGTTTCATTAGCAGTGTTAAGTATTCTGTGTGTGCAGCCTCTCCCACTGGCACCTGAGTGGCACCCACAAGTCTCAGTCTCCCCCAGCAAACCTTTCTGCATTCTCCAAGCCATACTACCCTCCTCCACCACTATTGCACTTACAGTCAGTACTGTGGGCTTTTTAAAATTATGTGTTCTCTGACTATTTATTGTCCATGTGCTGCTATGAAGCCAGTAGATCAACGTCATACAGGTTGAGATAGCAAGGCTTGCATCAGGCCACTCCAGAGGTTAAAGTTTCTGTCAAACAGGAGAAAGGGTGGAGAGGCAGAACATATAAATGAGGCAGGACACAGTGTGATGAAGCAAAGGAGCACTCTGTGGGGAGGTGGCTGTACACCTGGGTTCTGGTGCAGGCTCTGCCCCTCCCCATGTGATGCTTTACATCTTTTCCTCTTGTAGGTTCCCATATAGGTATATCAGTAATGTATGTGCCATCGAGTTGCCTGTGACTCATACCAATCTATGTATAATAGCTATGAAACCTGCCCTATCCTGAGCCAGTTTCACTAACTGTGTCACACCTGCCCTAATATACTCTAGGGAGTAGATGCCCCTCTTTTTTTTTTTTTTTAAAGAGTCATCATGTCTCAAGAAGCATGAAAGTGTAACTCTTATAATCTTCCCAGCAACTCTACAGAGCAGGAAATGGAATTAGCCTCATTTTTCAGATGAGAAAACTGAAGCTCAGAAGGGACTTAAGTAACTTGTCAGTTTGCTCACTCACCCACACCTTGATTTCATAAACTCTGGGAACATCAAGATGAAAAGACATCAGCCTGCGAAGAGCTTGTAGTTAAAATGCATTTGAATTACACTGTAGGGGTGAGCTGTCTTCTTCCTCCTCCTTTTTACCCCGTTCCTTCTATGGGTTAGTTGCTGAACATCTATTGAGTCTTAATTTCTTCATCAGTAAAATGAAAGAAACCTGTTGCTGTCAAGTTGATTTCAACTCCTGGTGATTTGTCTGTGTGCCAGAGTGAAGATCCGCTCCCTAGGGTTATCAGTGTCTATGATCTGGAATGAGGCATTGGTGGGTCAGTAGTAAAATTCACACCTTCCATGTGAAAGACCTAGTTCGGTTCAGGATCCACCAATGCCTCATTACCCCAGTGACTGAGTCAATCCATCTCACCCAGGGTCTTTCTCTCTTGCGCTGTCCCTCTCCAACGACTGGTCCCACCTTGCAGCATGTCCAAAGTATGTCAGATGATGCTTCAAAATTTTTGCCTCCCAGAAGCAGCCTTGTCTCACCCTCTCTAGGACGAACCTGTTTGTTCTCCTAGTAGTCCATGGTATATTCAATACTCTTCTCTAGCACCATAGCTCAAAGGCATCAATTCTCCTTTTATCATCCCTAGTCATTGTCTGGGTCTCTGATGCATTGCAAGTAATTGCAAAGACTATGGCCTGGATCAGTCTCCAGACTGACATTGTTGTTCTTCAGTACTTTAGAGAGGTCTCTGACAGCAGACTTTCCCAGTGCAATTCGTCTTAATTTCCTGGTTGCTGGTACCAAGAGTATTGACTGTGGAGCCAAGCAAACTAAAACTGTTAACAATCTCAATCTCTTCACCATCTATCATGATGTTGCCAATTGGCCCAGTGGTGAGAATCTTTTGTTTTCTTGATGTTGAGCTTCAATCCATATGGAAGGCTGCAGTCCTTGACCTTCTGCAGCAAGAACTTCAGATCCTCCTTAGTTTCCGCAAGCAGGGTTGTGTCATCTGTATAATACAGATTGTTAATGAGTCTTCCTCCAATCCTGATACCACATTTCTCCTCATAAGGTCAGGCCTCCCAGATAATCGGTTCTGCATATAGCTTGAAAAGGTATGGAGATAGGACACATCCTTGGCATACACCCTTCCCAATTTTGAACCATGCAGTGTTTCCTTGCTCTGTTCTGATGCCTGCCTCCTGGTCCATGTATAGGTTTCACATAAGTACAATCAAGTGTTCTGGGATTCCCATTCTTCTCAGAGTTAGCCAGTTTTTTGTAATCCACAGTCAAAAATGCCTTTGCATAGTCAACGAAAGCACAGATAAGTGGTCATGCCTTTCTTGCAGTGGGGCTGCATGTGTACTTGAACAAAACCTTTTTGGTTAGCGGGCCAGCACAATTTTTGTACCACTCAGCAAACTAGCTGCAAAATACGGGTGTATTAATAATCGCTGCCCTGACGGTCCAAGAGGCAATGGTGCAGAGATTCCCAATACAGTAGAGGTGCCTCTTCTTCAAGAGGACTCATAAACAACTAAAAGTGTCTTCTCTGATACTCCTAATTGGACCACTCAAGGCCAGAATGTTAATGCTGTGAGCTGCCAGCTAATTAATGCACTCCTCCAAGTATACAGGCTGGATTCCCACAATGCAGGTTTCCGCTCCCCTCTCTCTTCCACATCCTGTTTGTGCCTTTGTATCTTGACTATTCAACCAGGACTCCCTCCCAGGTGAGACACCAATTTGCTTGCAAGCTAATTAAATGTCTGAGCTGTCCTCTGACGCAGCTTTGGGCCTCGTGATGAAGAGGTGCGGGGCTGGATGATCACTAACGATGGCTTTGCGTGAAGGTCCGTGAGTCACCCGCTCCTCTCTCCTCCCCGGCGCAGGTTCCGCTGCATCGTGCACCCCTTCCGCGAGAAGCTGACCCTACAGAAGGCGTTGGCCATCATCGCGGTCATCTGGGCGCTGGCCCTGCTCATCATGTGCCCGTCAGCCATCACGCTGACGGTAATGCGCGACGAGCACCACTTCATGGTGGACGCGCACAACCGCTCGTACCCAATGTACTTGTGCTGGGAGGCGTGGCCCGACAAGGGCATGCGCAGGGTCTACACCACCGTGCTCTTCTCGCACATCTACCTGGCGCCGCTGGCGCTCATCGTGTTCATGTACGCGCGCATCGCCCGCAAGCTGTGCAAGGCCTCGGGCCCGGCGCGCGGCGGCGAGGTGGAGGCGGAGGGCGGGCGCGCGGCGCGGCGCAGGGTGCGCGTGGTGCACATGCTGGTCATGGTGGCGGTCCTCTTCACCCTCTCCTGGCTGCCGCTGTGGGCGCTGCTACTGCTTATCGACTACGAGCAGCTCAGCGAGCCGCAGCTGCACCTGGTCACCGTCTACGCCTTCCCCTTCGCCCACTGGCTGGCCTTCTCCAACAGCAGCGCCAACCCCATAATCTACGGCTACTTCAACGAGAACTTCCGTCGCGGCTTCCGCGCCGCCTTACGCGCCAGCCTCTGCCCGCTGCCGTCGGGCAGCCACAAGGAGATCTACTCGGAGCAGCCCAGCGGGCTCCTGTGCCGCCAGGTCCTGGTCGACCTGCAGCCCAGCCACTCGGGCCCGCCCTCCGAGCTCGGGCCCAGCAGCGGGGCCTCCAGGCGTGGCCGCCTCCCGCTGCGCAGTGGACGCGTGGCGCACCATAGCTTGTCGCCTGAGGGTCCCGGATGCTCCCACATGCCCCTCGCCGTCCCGGCCTGGGATATCTGAGGTGGTAAGGGGAGGACAGGGCCCATGTGTGAGGGGCCTAGTTAGAAACAAGACGCCAAGAGGGGGTATGATGGTGGGACCCTGTTAAAAAAGTTGTGTTGTGTCACCTTCATCTCAGGTGGAAGCAGTGAGAGGAAAGGAAACTTGCATTCCTTGTGAAGGTTTTTTACAATCATCATCTCATTTAACCTGACAAGTCTTTGAAAATAGGTTTTCTTAATCCCATTCTGCAGAAGAGAAAACTGAGGCCTGAAGAAGAGGGATAACTGGCCAAAGGTCTCTCAGCTGGAACTCCCACCTGAGCTTAGATGAAACGAGTGACTATGGTCTCAACCATCTCCAGCTGTTTTCAAAAGGACCTTCACAGTGATGTCCTTAAATTCTAATTAGACAGCCCGGAGAAGCAGCAAAAAGCAAGGTGGCATGGCCACCCGAGGTCCCTTATATTCTGTTCCTGAAGACCTTTGACCTTATTCTAGGAGGAAGCATGGTGTGCCCCTTCTGCCATCTCTGATGTGTTGGTTTGTATTGTTTGTTCCAAGTATCCAGGGCCTTGCTTTTCTCCCCATAGCGTTACAACAGGATGTCACGCTAAGCAGTTGGAGCCCTCAGGAGCCTGTGTTGCTGGATTCTCCCTCCTTGAGCCTAGATCAAGGAGGAGGGTCTCTCTCTTCTCCAATAGGGTGTATCACCAGCACTCAGATCAAAGCAAGAATATGTATTGCCAGAGGCAGCTGTACAACCTCATAGAGGCATCTGCTTATTTATTTATTCATGTGTACCAGGAGGAAAAGAGAGCACAATACCTACCTTCTGCCCCTGGAAACTCATCTGCTCTCTGAGGCTCCAAGCTCAGAGCCTGCCCCAAGGAGCCCGCTTCACGTTCCCTAGGACGGAGAAGTTAACCAACAAAAGCTGGGTGCCTGTGGGAACTCCCGAAGGACAAACACGAACCCATCCCATTGGATGACTCAGTGTGTCCTAAAAGGGAATCAGTGATGCCGTTCACCACTGCCCTCATCCAGTATATCTCATCACCTTCTCTCTGGAAGGTGAGAGAAAATGGAAGCGTATCAGGTGCTCCTGCTGCAGCACCAGTTACCTGGGCATACTTTTCACCATTATAGAAAACAAAATGTTGCTAGAAGTTGAATGATTAAAAAAGAAATAATTTTGGGGTCAGGACAGAGAATGTGACTCTGAGGCTCTGATTGTTTCTTTAATTGACACCATGACTTAACTCCATACACTCTAAATACAATGTGTAGGGCAAAAATAATCCCTACGCATTTGGACAACGTGTTTTCTCCAAGCATATTCCTAGATGTTATCTCATTAATCCTTAAACATTAGATTGAATGCATAAATGTAATTGTTGCCATTCGTCAATGTAATTGTGGCTCAAAGGGGCCTAAGTCACAGACCACAGGGATTGGGATTGGTATCTTCCATATAACAATGTCCTTCTCACAATTCATTCTGCTTCTCCAGGAAGGCAGATTGGGCATGGCATGGAGGAAAGCTGGGAGTTCTCACAGACGTTTTCTGTCTGCTCGTGAACCAGCACACTCATGGAACCAGACCCATCAGCTCTGAGTACTCAGGTTTAAGAGTACGTCTGCTGTGTTCATCCTTACTGTTCTGATTTCCAGCCTGAGCTGTTCTGTGGACAATATCTGCACCCGTGTGCTGAGCAGGGTGCCAAAGTCCATCCCAACATCATCAGGTTCAAGAGTCTCAGGAGAGAGTGTGCCGTCAATCTGCAGTGGTCACTGGGACTAGGGACCCCATTTCTGGTACTGGTCACTCTAAGCTGGCAATTGATCGCATGATCATGGATTTGGTATTGGGTTTATCAGTATCCTATGTCACATAGGCCTTAGGATTCTGGCTGCTTACTATGAAGAATTCTGACTCCAGGATTTAAAAATAGGCTGGAAGACAACCATCCCAACCCCAAAATACCTGTCCCTGTGGCTGGGTGAGCCGCGTCTGGAGCCACCTTCCTGTCTCTCCTTTGGGGTTTGTTTCTCTGTGTGGCTTCCTGAACCACAGAATCACAGCATCGATGGCCAGGGGAGACCATGGCTCTCCCTCAAGCCAGCAGCATCCAACTTTCCCACCAAGGCACCTTTGTTTCATTCCCTCTCCCCACACCCAGAGATGCCATGCTTTGGAAGATTGTATGTACCTTCTTGAAAAACTGCACAGGCACAGCAGTCACATTTGTTTTATCTGTATTTTTTCAAATTTCTTTGTTGTTGTTATTTTAAAAAAAATAATCAAAGACTGTTCATAGTTTTGATCCTGAAGGTAGGAGGCATGACAAGGCATTTCACAGGGGAGTGGAGCCACGTGAGTTTGTGTGTCGCTTTCAGAAGCTGATGATGATTCTGGAAGGTAGTGCTTGCGTGAACCATGAGCATAGAGACCCCTGGCTAGGGACCACGGAGTTCGCCCAAGTTAGTATTGATAGGTGACAAAACAGAGGTCCCAACAATGATTTTGACTGTCTCTCTGCCCACGACTGCCCTGAACTGCTGCTGGGCTGTACTTCGTGACTACCTTGTTAGAAAATGGTATCTTTTGAAGATGGCATTATTTTTTTTCCCTTCTTGTTGTGTACCATCGAGTAAGATCCAACTGGCATGGGAGGAGATTGCCCCTCCTTCTCCAGAGGAGCATCTGGTAGATTCAAACCATGTGCCTTTGGGATTGCAGTGCAACTTCTTGCCACTAGGCCACCAGAACTCCCTGAAGATGGTATATTTATAAAGTTATTTTTTATTATACTGACCTGACTTCTGGGCCCCATCAGGGGTTTTGTATGGCCGCCCCAAAGCACTTGAGGGCAAGGGATGTGGCTTCTTGAGGTGAACCATCTGTGCTTGTAGGCTTGTAGGGTCTCCTAAGGTGACTCCCTCTCCATGGGCGGAAAGTTCGAAGGTAAGTGGGTTGCATGATGGGAATAAAGGGCCAAAGACCTGTTGACATTGAGCACTCCCACCCCAGAGTGGTTTTTGGAGGGACTCTGTGTCCTGTCATGGACACCATGAGTGATTGTTCTGATCATGGGTCTCCACTGCTGAATGGCCTCTTCACTTCACCAAGACTACGCAGCCCCAACAGACCAATGTGAGCTGGAGGCGGATGCCCGGGCTGCACCCCACAAACCACAATCTGCCCAGCCCTATGTGGAAGCCTTCCTCTTGGGGCTTGGAGGACTCATGAGCTGATTTGGGTTGGAATAGAGGGCAGGGTTGGCAAAATGAAATGCAAGCCCCCTATCATCAGGCCACTGTGTATTCATCCAGAATGCCATGCGAGAGCCAAGCCCAGAGCTGGATGGACAAAGCATTGCTATTAAGCTCTGTACCTTTGCACATCCTTTCCTCAGCTCACCCCTCAGAAGAGCCACCAAAGAAAGATAGATGAGAAGGAGGGGACCCAAATGGGCTTCATTGCAAGCAAGCAATGTTGAATCAATAGGTTCCTTTAACCAGCTGAATAACTTGATTATTTATGCGTGAGGCATTTTATTGTTGTTTCTTTTCTCAACAAAAGCACTTCTTGATCATTGTGGAAATTTTTACATTTAGAGAAGCAAAGAAAAGAAACTATCAAGCACCAGAATTCCACCACAGGAGTCAAGTACAGGGTCTTCTCTATATATTCTCTGTAAATATATATATATATATAAATATATATATATATATTAAATTCTATGCTTAACAGCTTTATTGAAGCTCCATTCACATGCAATACAATTCAACCATCTTAAAGATGTAGTTAGGTAAGTTCTACCAAGGATATGCATTTGTGTAATTAACAGTTATACTCAAGGTACAGAGTATTTCCATCATCCCAGAAAGTTCTCTCATGCCTATAGATGTAGTTAATCCCCTCTTCCTACTCCTAGTCCCAAGTGACTTGATGTTTGTATCTGATATATCATCAGAATTTGCTATCTTAAGGATGTCATATAAATGAAACTATGTAGTATGTAGATTTCTCAGGCTTCTTTCACTAGCGGAATGTGTTAGAGATTCATCTGCATTATAGCATGTCCTGGTAGTCTATTCCTTTGGCTTGCCTTTTGTCGTATGGATGTGTCACACGTTGATTATCAGTTGAGGAGCATTTGGGTTGTTGCCAGCTCTTCAGTATTACGCACAATGCTGCTATGGACGTTCATATACCCACTGCCATTGAATTGATTCAGACACATAGCAACTTTGTAGGACAGGGTAGAACTCCATAGTTTCCAGGGTTATAAATCTTTATAAAAGCATCCTGCCGCATCTGTCATATCTTGTGGAGTGCAGACAAGAACCACTCACCCTGAGGATAGCTGTCAACTCTTTAACCACTGTGCCACGTAGGCTCCTGAATATTTACATGCAAGTTCTTATGTGAATGCATATTGTCAGTTATCTTGGGTGGATACTTAGAAGTGGGATTTCTGGTTGAATGATAAATACATGTTTCATTACATCAAGAACTGCCAAAGTCTTTTCCAAAATGCCTGTATCATTTTACATTCCTCCTCCTGTGCAACTTGGAGCCTCAGAAACTTAATGAAGGATCAGCTATGGGTTGGTTCTAACTTGACAGCAGTGAATTTTTTTTTTTCATTTTCTCAGGGTTAATGAGCTTTCACTAACAAAGAGAGGGGGGAGAGGAAGGACCAAAATGGGTGTCAGAAGAGACTCTGAAAGTTGTACTGGAATGACAAGAAGGCAATACAAGGGGTAGGAATGCTGGAGTAAGATAAGAGAGCTGAACAGAGACTTTCAAAGGATAGCTAGAGAAGACATTATAATTTCATTATAATGAAATGTGCAAGGAACTGGGATTACCTCAAGTTGCAATACTGAAGGATTTTATGGGGGAAATCCTGAATGATGTAAAAAGCATCAAAAGAAGGTGGGACAAAGAGTCACTGTACCAAAAAAGAACTAGTTGAAACTAAACCATTTCAGGAACTAGCATAATATCAA